CTGTATAAAATTAATTTCACACATTTTTCCTCCAATTTTTTTAAAAAACATTTCTGGCTTTTTGCTATTACAGAATTGGTAGGAGTAATTTTTCCTTAGGATTTTAGACATAGAAACTTGGAAAGTTTAGAAAGATTTTAAGGCAAATTTATAGATCCATGATTCTAAAAGATTCCAGAAAAATGTGATAAAATGAAAAATATCTTCATGGTAGTAACACGCTGTTTCTTACATTTTGGAGAACATCTGGAAGAACAATGAAAATATAATACAGTCAAATTCGTTAATTCGGATACCCATAATCCAGACCTCAAAGCTAAAATCTTTCTGCGCATGCGGCGCGTTGACGCATGCACATAGGCGTTTTACGCGTGCGCGCAAGACATTTACGACTGCGCATATGCATCTGCGCAAGCGCAGAATACGTTTTCGCGTGCATGTTTAATGTATAACGGACGGTATAAGCTCTAATTATCTATTTCAGTTAATGTTGATGATTGCGTTGTTCCTTAATCTTCGAATTGGATCCGGCTTATTATTTTTTGCAGACTGTCAGAGCAATTTTATAAAAGTAAGCTTGAACTTTCGATTATGTCAAATAGAATTTCCGATGCTGGAGCTCCCAAAGGATCTACGAAAACGAAGTATGTTTCGATGTCCATCAAACAAAAAGTGGAATTGCTACAAAATGGATAAAGGCATATCCTTTGTTTATCTAAAACCGTTCCGAAAATCTGTTTATCAATTTCACGCTGCTTCTGCGCGGGGGGGGGGGGGGAAGTCGCGGGCGCGCAATGAACTGGAAAGTTGATCTATTTATCTTCGGTTTATTTTAATATTCCTTACTAAATGTAGTATTTAATCTCGATGTACTCCGTCTTTGATATGATTTAAATCAAATTCCTCGTCATTATAAATATCACGAATACAAATCAAATAGTTTTCTGGTTGCAATTTTCTAATTTCGGCTATGCATAAGGTATGCTTTACGCATGCGCGTGTTGAAAGAAATGTTTAATAAAGTAAACAAATAAATATTAAGCTTTTTTTTTGTAAATTTTGATACCCTTTAGATCATAATTGCTCATTATTTTATAAATTACGGTTTCATATTTTTAATTTTATAATTTCTGCATGCCATCCTACCAGATTTAAACTGATGATCTATAATCCGGAAAAATCGATAATCTGGAATCGCCGAAGTCCCGACAAGTCTGGATTAAAGACTTTTGACTGTAGTTGAATGTTTTACTTCTGATTCTAGAATCGCTTTATTAACATTTTTATCTTTTGTTTTCTCTACGTTTCACTAGACACAGCATGGAAATATCAAAAGTACTTCTAATCTTAAATATGGACAGGTATTATAGAAAAGAATTTTTATTAAAAAGAAATTGAAAACTGACAATTCAAAAGATGCATCTAATATGTCTTAATGCATCATACACAAACTGGCGCTAGGCATTTTGCCACCTGATGCAGCTCTGTGGATCCTAAATTCGCTGTGTGCCTTTCTAATTCTGCTCTCAGTGCTGCCTAAATTCTAAAAGTTTTGCCATTTCTAGATTTGTTGCTCAGTGTGTTCTAAATTCTAAAAATTAGCCACACCCACTCTGTGACCAGACTTTACCAATGTATTTCATATTCTTCTGAATGTTCATATTACTAAGAAATAAAATTAGCAGCTTTTCCATACATTCTAAATTCATTTAGTCTTTTAGAATAACAGAAGTCTTTAATTAAATCCCAAAAATTTAAAGTGAAAAGGAAACGTGTTGGAAAAAAAAAAAAAAAAAAAACTAAACATGTAAAGAGAAAAAAAATTATTCTTCAAAGATATGTACAGTTATTATTATGTAAATTACCTAGTTATTTACAGTTTCAGCCTTTACTATAATTTCCCATTTCTATTTCCTCACCAGAATGCAAATCAGACAGTTTTTAAACTGAGGTTTTTGTAGTGGAAGACGAGTGTGTTTCTGATCTCCACTTGCTCCCTGCATTAGTTCTGCCAGCTCTGATAATTTGTAATTATTAGTCTTTCCATTACTGCTGCTAACATTTGAGTTTATTATGACAATAGAGTTACTGAAACAGATTAAATTGAAATTAAATTGTATAGTCTTTAACCACTAATCCATATTTTTAGTTTGACTTTGACTTGTTTAATTATATCACTACAAACTGTAATTGATTTTGTTAGCATAAGAACAGGCCTATATGTTCCAATTTCTTTTTGAATAAGAAGATTATTTAAACCTTTATTGAAATTTATTATCTGATTTATAATTACTTTCAGACATAGTGATAATTTGTTTCACGTCTGTCGGGGGGGGGGGGAGGTTCGGACTATTTAACTTTTACCAGATCAAGTAAACCCTCATAGGTAGTGCATTGTGCAGAGATATAAATACGAAACAATATTATTTTTATTAATGACTAGTCTGTTGTTGTTTGTTCATTATTATACTGGCGAAGCAAGGTTCTTTTTTTGAAAGACATACGTGTAAGTGTTCACTACATTAAGCTATTTCTCGCTTTAGTTTTTATATGCAAAGCGATGAAAATCCCATTTCGACACAAGGGGGTAACAAAGGTGAGAGTAACTGCAGTGCTCCGTTCGCCAACTCTGGATAACGTTGTAGCTGTGAACACCCAAATTGTTGCAATTCTAATTGGTTCAAATTCCATTTGAACATGTCCACTTGCTTGCATTTCAACTAAGTTGATCTTTTTTTGAGATCACTATCATCCATCAAATTTAAGTCAAAATAGAAATGGATCCAGTAATCCATCTCTGAGTTTTTGGTAATATTTCTGGTAGAAAAATATCCATTGAATGATTCACTCAATCGTCTCATATGTATTACAAGGTCGGGTATAATTGTATTCTTTTAATTTTTCGCAATAACAGAATCAAGCAAAGGAAAGTTTGCAAAATTCCCCTTTTCTACTCGTCGTATCCAAATTTCTAATTTTGCGATAAATGAAGAGAATTTTTCACTAGATATATTTATACCAATCCTTGCATTGATAGATTCAATTCATTTAAATGGCTAAATATGTCTGCTAAGTAGGCCAGCCTCAGCATTGCATCATCACTCTCAAAATCTTTTACTAAATAACAGTTTTGACTAGTCAGTAATTGAATAATTTCCTCAGGCAATTGAAAAACTCTGTGTTGTATTCTGTATCGGTGTGCGATATAGGAACATGGTATGATCAGCACCGATTTCTTTGCAAAGTGCACGAAAAATGCGATGATTAAGCGCTCACTCTCAGATGTATTTTACTACATTAACTGGTGTAGTTAGATGTTTTAAAACTTTTGGCAATTTTCGATGCATGACTTTCTGCAACACAATGCGTTATTATAACTTCCGGTAATTTTCTTTTCACGTGTAGAAAAAATCCTGAATTTTTGCCTAACATTGCTGGGGCTCATCAGTGCATATTGAGCCAATCACATTCATTGGTAATAGATATTTAGTAAAAAAATCTTTGATGCGATTGAAAATATCATTTCCTCTCGTATTCACCTCCAGTGGCTCACAAAATATAAATTCTTCTATCACCTCTTTTTCTTTCACATACCTGACAAATACCAAAAGCTGGCTACAATTATCAACATCAGTTGACTGACTCATCCAGTTGCATGCATATTTTTCAGTGGACTTGATTTTTACGTCTTCAATTACTTGCATTAAAATATCTTCACTGAGATCTTCGTATTCGCGATCGTATATCATTCGATAATGGAATCTGTTGGATTTTTTTATGTGCTTCCGAATCTAAAACTGTTTTAGCAATAATTAAAGCAGAAGAATTTCTTATTTTTTGCACATAAATATGCCACTTGATATGACGCTTCTAATACAGGTTTTTGAATTGCTGGTCTGCACAATTTTAGGATAGTTCCACTGGTATCAAACCAAGCCTTCTTTGACTTCAAGCTGTTCATGCTATGCGCTTTTTCGGCACCATGCAGATTGTTGAAATGCTCTAACTTTGATGGTTTGAGATTGCTCTTTGAAAATATCTTGGAACACAAGATGCATTGCAGTTGTTGTGTACCATCTTTTTCGGTTGTGCAGTTAAATCCATAACCGGCATACTTATCGTTCCATTGTCGTTTTTTTTTTTTTTTTTTTACATAGTGGGGTTCACTATAATCGATTTAATTATTTAGAAATAATGTAATATAATATATATAATGCTGTTACGTTTGTAATATCACTGAATCCTATTTGACTTGAACGGGCAATTAGGAATGTATTAGTCTCAAGAGGTTAACACACAGGTGCAGTAGATGCAGATACAAATCTGTGAATCCGTAGATTCCATTGGAGTAGCACATGTTGAACTCGGCGCAAGTTGGGATAACGTTCTCCGCTTGTATTCCCACAAAGTTTTTTTCTTTTCTCCGTAACCTAGCTGCCTGTTCGTGTTCATTTGTAGCGTTTCATGCCTTTTCGTAGCGTATTGTATACGCCTATCGGCACTGGCTCTTCCCTGTGTCTTTTGCCGATAAGTGAGCTAGGTGCTACCAATTTTTACGAGCTTCAATATTGGGGACACTATTGCATATTTCAAATATTTTATTATAAGAAATTTAATAAACGATATTTAATAATTTTTATGGTTAGGTAGGGGCTTCTCCCGCACCCCAAAAAATACATATTAGTCTGGATTAACGACTTTTGACTGTAGTACCTACTTTAAATTCAAATTAGATTTAAATTTTCACATAGTAAAATAATTTTAATATTAATAATAATAATTTAGTAACATAAATTTATTCATAGTAAAATGTACTCACGGGCCATAAAAATAATTTGGTGGGCCGTATACAGCCCTGCATTGTATACATTAATATTATGTACAAGTTTAATATTAGTTTTGTTAGTGCTTTTTATTAAATAAATAATATTTTAGACACATTTTTATTGAAATTGATTTCCAACCACAAAATTGTAAATCATATAACATTCATTTATTTATTTCTGTGTATTTAATTGTTATTATTTTTTCACAGGTCTGAAATTAAAATGTATCTCAATGGTAATTAGCAAGGCGATGCTTTTTGCACATATGGCGCAGAGATCAAAGGAAGTTGCAAAATATGATCCAGCTGTGAGTAGAAAATTGCTTGAGTTTGTTTATATTTTAATAGCATTTCCTTTCTTTAAAAGAATTTCACTATTTTATTTATTATTATTATTATTATTAAATTTGTACTATTAGCTCACACTCTCCCTATATTTTGTTCAAATTTTCAATTGTTAATGAAATACTTTTTTATTCATCCACTCAAGTTCAAATAAATTTTTTTAAACTTTTAGTGGATGACACTTTGTTAATACAGTTTTTCACATATTAAATTTAAAATTTTTATTTTGTATTTTAAAAATTTTTCTTTGTTGACCTAAGTAGGAATTGATTTAAATTTTTTTATTTAAGATTTTAATTAATTAATTAGTTGTTAATGAAATACTTTTTATTCATCCATGCAAGTTCAAATACATTTTTTATAAACTTGTAGTGGATGACACTTGGATGTTAATACAGTTTTTTTCACATATTAAAAATTTTAGTACTTTCGTATTAACGTCACCGCAGCTGCAGATTTGGCGGTTTTTAAGTGCCGTCAATCTACACCTAAAATTTTTGCGACAAATCATAAACACTTTATTTAAAATCAAAGTAGTTATTCGGATTTCGGTAGAAAATGGGCCGATATAGAGTTTAACATAGATTCAAAACAGTCTCTATTTTTTTAACCTTATGCTGTTGCTATATATGAACTCTGCTAAATAAGATTTTAAATGATGTATTGCTGTCCCCCTATGTCTCTTGTTCCTCCATTTAGCACTGCCCCACATTCTCTCAACTGTTTGTGTATGAACTCCTATATCAGGATCAATAGAATTGTATTTATGGTTAATTTTAGCATGTAGGAATCCTTTTTCTATTCTGGTAACCTTTCCAACCGTCAGAATAAATTGTGATACCATCTGCAATATTTTCAATAATTTTATTAAGAAGAGTAGAGCCAGTTCTATTAGGAACAGTGACAACAAACGAATCTTTTGTTTCTCTACATATACCACCAAACACCCACTGTTTGGGTAATACTCAACCACAATTATTTTTACGCTGAGTAAACAAACTTTCATCAATTTCCACAATGCAATCCTGTCCACCTACCTTCTTGTTTGGTTTATTCTCCATATCCAAGACACATAACTCACACATGTAATTGCTCCCATCTGTAACAGTTTTATCTGATGAATCAAGTTGCTTTTCCAAAATTTAATCAACGTCAACTCCTCGCACCAGCAGTATATGAATATCAGAGCTGAACGAAATGGGATTCTGCTTCCTTCAAACCAGTTCTCTTTTCCAAGTCCCCCTTGTGGATCATACATACTGTATTAAATTACATTTCCAAAACGTACGTTTACCAAAATAAAGTTTCATATCATACGAATTGGTACATTTTTTTTTTTTTTTTAATATTTCGCTCCTGAAAGAATAAAATTGCATCTTCTTCTGTGTTTGGCAAATCCCAAAGACTCATTTTCGTAACACTATGGCATCAAAAATCAGCAAACAACAAGGCAAAAAGGAATCCAAACAATTAACTGCGCGCGAACAATAGGATTGCTCTTTATTGGTGCATCAGTACAACTTCTGCTGCTGTGGCGTTAATACGTAAGTGCAATGGCGTTAATATATAAGTACTAAAATTTTTAATTTAAAATATTTTTTGTATTTTTTACTTGTTATTATTGTTGTTTTTATTTTTTATTTATTTATTTTTTTTTTGCATACACATTGAAATTTATTTGGATAATTTTCTATAAAAAATATGTGTACCATCTGATACTCAAGAATAAGAAATTTCAGTTGAGATGAACTGATGGTTCCATCATTAAATCATTTCAACTGAGGTTCAGTCACCAGAGTCAGCATACATACGGCAAAATGTGAAATTTACGCCTTTGTTATGTATTATGGTAAAGAAAAAGCAGTTGCTTATTTTGCTGAGTTAAAAGTATAATTCATAATGCTTAGGTGTGTTTTAATGGACATGACATGAAAATTTCTTTTAACCTTTCACCTGGGATATACAAGCAATAACACAAGCAATAGCATGCTGCCTGCAAGACTACTGTTTTAAGAAAAATTGTTTTAAAAATGTGGTAGACGTTCTTACAACTGGACATAAAGTGAAATAAAATAATTTATTCTTCTCTGCTAATACTTGGCAGTGTCAATTTTGAAAACAGTCTTGGTTAAAGATAATGTAAACATACTAAACAAAGAATTTGGTAATATTGCATGTGATAATCTGAGTTTAGACTTTAACTTTGCACGTTATTAGTTGGAATAAATATTAACACCTATATTCTTTTTGAGATTCAGGGAGGAATGTGGTGCAACCTTTTAGCTGTTAAGTATTTATTTTTTATTTATGAATGTAAAAAACTACTTTTATTCAAATTTAATTTATCAAGATATTCTGCACTTTTTTGTTGTTTAATTTATAAAACACATTAAAAAATCATCTATCTAGATAAATGGATATATTTTTTTAATTTTGAAAAGGAGGGGAAATGATCTTTTCGCAATGTCGAAAAGAGTGCAATAGTGCACGAAAAGAGTGCACAAAAGGCTGAAAACCCCTTTTCTGGAGTCCTGTAAGCTTGCTACTGATCACTGCAAATAATTGTTTTTTGTGCACTTATGTTTGTGTGATTGAAAGTAGCATCTGGCTATCTCGCCATTAAAATAAAATATAAAGTGTCATCTCTCTACAGCATCATTACCATTAGCAACATGAATAAACCCTAGTCCCTTCTGTGCAATGTACATGGTTTTAGAGTTTTGTATGTCCTCTGCATCTGAATCAGAGGAGAATAATAGTTGTGCTGGTATTATCATCTTGAAGCAGCTATTCATGATTGGTCTTACATTTCTTACAAAAATTGCCCCCATCAATCTCTATGCATTCTCCTACACCACTTACTTGAAGGTGATGATGAAATATTGAAATGCACATATTTTTACATAAAGTAAACAAGTTGCATACCATGCAGCTGTCCTTACCTGTGTATCATGTCATTCTAATCTGGCTTTGTTGAGAGGCCTTTAATAAACCGAAATTTCTTGTATGAATAGACATCTGTTATATCTGCCATTGAGATCCACAAATGTGAAAAACTGATCTGCAATGATTGATATGTTTGGTATAACATATTTTTGCATTTCAGCCTCCTATATTCTTTGTTGCCTGTTATTACTTGTTTTTATTTAAGCACTGATTAATTCACTTTGGTGATTTCCTTTGCCAGAGGGGTGGGGATATTAACGAAAATGCAGTGAGTTGCCTTGATGTGAGCGAGACCGAAGAAAGAACCACTCAAGGCCAAATCACGATTAACATTTTCTTAGTCAAAGGAAAATACTGGGTAGGTCACCTGTTATCATTGATACAGCCAAGTAGGTTAAAAATGTCATATGCAAGTAACTTTTGTTAATGAAATAATTTCAAATTATTTCACTTTATTAAAATATACTCCATGTCCAAAAAGTTCCATGTATATTAAAAAAAAATCATGTGTTTTCGAACCTTAGAATATAAATACCTTTTAGATAGAGATGCAGATCAAAGAAAATGCACAAAATAGGTCTAAAACACATTGGAAGCGCACAGCTGGAAATATACATACAGTATGTTACTTTGTCGTTATGTTACTTTGTTTTGCAAAAATGGTGTCTCATCAGCAAATGATAATGACTCCGAGCTCCATTTGATGACAGTACAACCAACATAATTGATTTTAACAGTGCTGCGTCATCACTTTCAAGAAAGTAGGTTGGTCATGCTAATAAATCATTAGGCAAGTCTAGGATGAGAACTGAGAAGGATCTGCAATAATGAGAGCAGCCCTAAACGGACAGCTTCATTATGTGTTATTCATGATTATTTAACCACATTAACAGAGGCTAGACTCTGTTATCTTTTTTTTACTGCAATGTCTGCCACTAAATTCTGACCATCAATATTAATGCCTACTTGCTGGTGCAATAGTAGCAAGTTTCAGCTATGGGTCACTGTTTTCACTAACTTAAAAAACTAAGCAGGTAACAAGGAGGAGATCTAAACAACGCTTTTCATTTTTATTGTGTGAAATATTTTCACAACACCTGGTGTTTTTATTTAGGAGTTAATTTTCTTTTTGATAATCAGTCACTTTAAATGATCCTTTACACTACTCTAACACTTTGAATGCCATTACTGACTTTATCCGGCCATGTGATTTTTGTGTCACTTGTTATATATTAGCTTATGATTTAAGATATTTTGCTTTCTTACTTTCATTAATAATATAAATGCCATCTTGATGAATGTAAGTTTATGAAAATGAGACTAAAATAGGTAAATATACATATTTAGCAAATAAAGGCTCTTTAAATACAGGTCTTCATGACAGTCCAAAAACCCAGGCCGCTCAGAAGATTAAGGTATCGATAGTATCATGCAACCTGCTGTATTGCCAGTGCAATTGTGTGTGTGCCCAGAACCATCATTCTGCAAGTTATGTATTTATACATGATAAACATCTTTAGGAAATCGTGTCATTAAAACTTGCATTAGCCTGGCAGATCTTCACATCTTTTTCCAGTCAAAAGTTTATAGAATATGTTAGACTGTCACTCTTATTACATAGCATGCATGAACTTGCGTAAAGGTTATAGAATATCTGCCAGGAAATTCGGCAGGATCGCTTTCAGTTTTTACACGAGTCCATGGCAATTGAATGTTGCTGTGCGGCTGCCAGCAATGACTATATATCCCCGTAATAATATGCATTGATTTTGAACCTCTATGAACTCAATAAATGGATTGATTACTTTACAATTTTAATCACTTCTATGTATTTATCCTCTAATTGCTCGTATCAAGTTCCATAATATTCATTTATGTATTATATTGCAATACAGGAAATTTTACTTTATATAGTTATTAGTTCTTTATGTTTCTGAATTATAGATGCTTGCTGCAGCTACTCTCACTTTGAGCTGTAAATCCTATGATGAAACTCTTAGCAAAACTATGGTGGTACTTACGTTTCATCAGTAAGTGATGTTATATATCTAAAGATTGGTTGTTTTTATTTCTTATAAAAAATGATTTGCATTGCAATTTTTTTACAAATATTATAAGATTGGTTGTTTTTATTTCTTAGAAAAAATTATTTGCATTGCAGTTTTTGTACAAATATTATAACTTTATTGGAAAACTTTAGACTTAAAACTACTTACTTGAATGTATGTATCAAAAGCATGTGTGAACCATTTAATATATATATATATATATATATATTTTCAGTATGATAAAAAAGGAATATCTCTTGAACTTATTGAGTGAAAAAAAATTCAACCTTGACAAGTATCTGGAGAAAACTGAACATATGTTGTTCAGAGTGCTGGGTGGCAACACTTCTCAGAAAATAGCACATGAGGTAAAGAATTAAAATTAAAAAAAAATAAAAATTAAGTGAATGAAATGTATTGAAATTTATACCTAAAATTATGATTTTCTTTTATTTCTCTAAAAAATTATTGTGTAAATAATTAAACAGTAAATATTTTATGGTAGTTATCTGAAACATTTTTGCAATTTTAGTTAAAAAATTGTACAGTAGGTGCCGCTTAATGTGATCAAGTTTGTCCATGGCTATTTAGGTAACATATGGTGAATATGGCTTTCAAAATATCAGTGGAAGTTAATATTATGATGACTAGAAACATATAAATGCTTCATTTTACAACATGTTCAATTAAGGAAAATGTCATTAACAACTGACTGTTTGCAATTGCTATGTTTCTAAAAATTGAGTGATGCTGCACCACTAATCGTAATACTTGTAGGGCATACCTCCTCTCAGCATTTGTAGGAAATCACCTATTTCGTCATCATGTTCTTCAGAAAGTTTATCACAAGATGTGCATGGATTTGCTTCCGAAAGTAACTTGTTCTGTCATAGATTTAACATGTTAATTTAATGTGATGATGGATATTAATGAAATAGAATGGTTAAGTATGTAACTGGAGTAATATTTAAGGAGTTGAAAGCCATAATAGCCTTTTACTATTTCTATTTCTTATTTATTTTTTTTCCCATTTTCATGATAAAAATAGAGGAGGGGAGAGTTAATTATTTTTGTCTTTTCTGAGATGTGGCTTCAAGACATGCTGCAAAGCATCAAGAAGGGTAGTTTTCTGTGCTAATTCAGTTGCATTGATATCCTTCTGTATCATGTATGTTATAAAGGACTAACTCATATTGTGGCAATAATGTTCTTTCATTGCTCTTATAATCCCTTGATCATTGTTCTGTTATTAGGCCAAATTAGCTCTGAAATTACTTCATGTTTTCTCTTCATTTGCACTGAAAGATGCATGATGATAGCTTTTTAGGCAAATGAAGAGAAAACATGCAGTAATTTTATAGCTAAACTGTCCTAACAACCGTTTCTGAATTATGGCTGTGGTAGTTGCTGGCAGATGTGCAACTTCAGTATGCTTAATATTAGTATTTACATTATGTGCTGTGCAGTTACTTACCAGTAACAAGAAGGATATTATTCTTCATTTTGTTACCTCATTTCAAAAGCCATTCCTTAAAAATTACTGACATCAATCATGCATTTGAATTATAGTGCCACAGGTAAACTCTTTACTCCTTTAATCCTCTTAGCCCTGAAATTTCAAAGTTCCTCAAAATGTCATGAATAAGTGGAGTTTTCTTGATTTCAATTGAAATTGACTCTCTCATTTTGTACCTTGATTCCTTTTCTTCCAATATACATCCAAACCAAAATCGGATACATTAAAGGCTAGCAGAAATTTTCATGCATAATGAATGTAGAAGGCAGCCTTCGATATGGAATTTTCCAGCCATAACGCTGAGAGGGTTAAACCACCGAGGAATTTTTTTAAATTCCAGTTACTCATAGTTTTCTTTTTTACCACACATATTAAAGCAGTATAAAACAATTACACAATCTTTTGCTATTTTATATTCTTTTGAACTTCTAATTTAAAATAAATAGATATGAGGAGGCATTGTGCAATAGTACAGATCCATTTTGCTGGCATTAGAAATGTTTTCAGGACAACCGAGTTCTCACAGCAGCTTAGCCAACATCTTTTGTTCACCGTGAATGCCTTTGTAAGCAATGTTTTCTCTTTCTTTCCATTGGCTTGATCTTACATAGGCAGTGTGCAATAGTTATAGATCCATTTTGCTGGCATTAGAAATGTTTTCAGAACAGTTAGACAATATACAACTTCATAGACAATTTAGGCCATTCACTTGACAACCATATTCATGCAGCAGCTTAGTCAACATATTTTATTCATCGTGAATGGCTTTGTAAGCAGTGTTTTCTCTTCCCTTCCATTGGCTTAATATTCCATAAAGGGGTTAAAGGCTGATATACAGACTCATTGGGACTTCGGCGATCCCAGATTTGGGATTTTTCTTGATGTTAGATCATCAGTTAAAATCTAGTAAGATGGCATGTAAAAATTATAAAATTAAAAATATGAAATTGTGATTTATGAAATAATGCAGTACCTTATGATCTAAATGATATCAAAATTTACAAAAGAGATTAATATATATTTATTAAAAATTTCTTTCATTGTAAGTTGTTTTAACTCTTTGAAATCCAAACTCTTCGCTAAGCTGTATCCTCAAAATACCTGAACCGCCCGAAATACTTTTCCAGTTTCACAGCAATTTCATTCCCTCCCCATCCATTAACGCAGAAAATAGGTGTGAAGATGTCCATTGACATCCTTTGAACTTTTGAACAAAGATTCCATTAGCCTTTGACCCTTTTCTTTATAAAACTATTCTAAAGGTCAGATCATCAAGCCTTTCTGGCTTTGCTATGATCACGACTGAGATTTTGTTTATTTCTGTTATTTTTATAGGATGGAATAAATTGTTTAAAAATAAATATAATCCTTAAATTTTTAAACTGCTCTTTTATTGCTGTTTAAAGCTTAAAAGCACACTGTACCACAAAAGAATCAACAACAAAATGTCACGATCAACCAAAAGATAAAAAAAAAACTCTAAGGTATGTAAGGACAAACTGTCTGCAGTAAACTGATACAATGCATTTGGGGAAAGTGCACCTGCTACTACATACCTTAGGGGGAGGGAAGAAAAGAAGATTACAATCTCGGCCGTTTTCGGGTGGTTCTGGTCATTTCAATGTAGGGGGTGTCGGGCAGACTGGATGTGAAGGAGTTAAGTTACTTCATTTTTGTGCTGATACTTTCTCTTTAATTCTATAGATATAAGTTTTTGTTCATTTACAGAAGTTCCACTGTTCAAATCCTATAATTGCTGTGTCAACAATTTCGACTAACTTGTCAAAACTAACTTGTTTTTCGTTTTCAGTAACCTCTCTGTCACTTTCTTCACTATCGGTAGCGGTATTTTCTGGATCTATAATCATACTACAGATTTAGCTGTCCATTAATGCATTGATGATTGGGCATCATCATCGTAATGAAAATCTGTCATCTTCACTTATTACCTACCACTTCTCCACATTTCTTTACAAAATGCAGTAAGTGGAAAATTTCACCTTTGGTTTCCAGTATCCGAAAACCTTCAGATTCGCAGCTATCATCTTCATCATCCCAACCATGAAATGCGGTAGCTGACTATAATTCTTGATAACGATGCATCACTATATACCGTTTGAATTATCTCTAATATTTCACTAGCCCAATTACCTAATTTGTAATAAAATTTAATGTTCTAATGTTATTCTCTTTCTAAGCAAATTTTTTTTTGTGCTATGTCTTTCCGTAAAAGAAAATGACTCCATTGACATCAAATGGCATTTTAATATGCAATTGACGAACTAACCAGTTTAAATTGGTTTTAACAAAGTTGAGATGTCACTCTTTCTGAGCATACATTTATTCTTTCACTTTTTTATTTTACCGTTTGCTCTTTTAATTTGTCCAGTTACTTTATGGGTGCACCTTTTATGTGAACAGCTTTTCTTCTCAATTGAAAATTAGCAAGAAAGAACCCCGTTAACCAGTCATAATCTACAATCTGTGTTGAAGATAATTTCTAGTAATTGTTTCCAGTGCACAGATATTATGAAACAAAATTTGTATTTACATAAGTATTTTAATTTATGTATAAAAAAATGTAATAAATAAGGGAGGCTAGGTTGTTTTTGTCACACTTAAGAAATTTTCTCAAAAACTTCAAAAGTGTTCATAATTTATTTTCAATTTGAAGTAAGTTATTTAATTATTAATTAAATATATAGAATTATTTGAAATGTCAGTGTGAAATATGAATTACAAATTGTATGTCTTTTACAAGATTCCCTGATAATGACTAAACAGAATAAAGGAATTAGTGTTTTTTAAACAAACTGTTTTTTAAAGTGTAAACCTCAATACAAGCAAAGAGACACTTTTTCATGAAAGAGCAAGGTCATCTAGAGTTCTCTTTTAAGCAGTTTGGTCGGTCAGTCCAGATTCTTTGTATATAGTTGCCATAATTTAAAATCACTCAGCTTGGCAAGATGATCTTCTAGTGATCTCAAGAGCAACTCAATGTTCCCAAATTTGAAAGGGAATTCTTGAACCTTTTGCACCGGAGCTCTTTAGCGCTAGTGATAGAGAATTGAAATCGCATTAAACAAACCCAGGATCGAGTCCCAAGCTTATTACAATCTTCAAGGGCATGTGAAACTTGCAGCACTTCTCACTGATGTTAGTAGGTGGCAACACTAGCAAGTGACTATGTACTGGAAGCCACCGAGGTCTCTTGCTCCCTGTGATCGCTATGTTGGCGACCCGGAGAACTATAAAAAACTTCCCTCCACTGAGGACTTAACTGCACAACATGCTCCACCTCAACCTAACAGCGACAGAAAGGCCAACAGAGTGGGCCTTCTCAAACATGCTCCATCATGCATCAACAGATCCAACTGAGTATGCACACACACTGGACCCTCAGCAATCGCCCATCAATGCACTGGGCTCACAACCTCATATCACATCAAAAATGCCTGGGAGGGGAGTGAGAAGCAATCTTGAGAACAGCTCGCCTCTCGCAAATTCAAAAGAGTTGAAATTCTTGAGCCTATCGCACAGGAGCTCTTGTGCTGGTGGTAGAGAATTTGACTCCCATTAAACGGACCCAGGATTGAAACCCAAGGTAATTACCATCTTCAAGGGCACGTAGAACTCTGGTGCTGCAGCACAAGCAACTGAGTTCTCTCGCACCAGTCTCTTACTTGCCAATATTTCTGTCATTTCTAAATTTCTATTTTGATCTTATTTGGTAATTTTATCTTTTATTTGGCGACTTTCTTTCAGTTTAAAATATTAATACATACTATACTATTTTGATAACATTAACTGACTTGATCACTGTAAGCGGTGTGTTTTCCATGTTTTCTTGTAGAAATGGGTGTTATTTTGGTAATTCAATAATAACATCTGCATGATAACTTTGACTGCAATCCTAACAAGCGGTGTCTTCTATACTTATTCAAAGGGACTAATGTGACTTAGCTTTGCCATGCTTAAAAATGTTGCTTAAGAATTGGCTCTTGATATAAGATGTTAATATGGCACAATATCTATGATTAACTCAAAATCATAATTGAGGCAGTCAAACTCCACAGAAAAGAGGCAGTTAAAAAGCCACAGAAAAGAAGAATCAGCCCATATTTTAATTAACAGGAAAATATTAGCAATTTGCATACATTTTCAAATATTTTAATTTGGATCATTTGGTGACTGTTTTGCTTTACACTGATCGTTCAGTAATTTATTCATCATTCTGCAATAAACCACTTAAATATTTTAGATAGGGCTCAGTTGGAAATTGCCTGTTGCTTACAACAGTTTCAAATGTGAATTTCTCTCATGTATTCCAGTGTCTGGAGTGCAAAGCATTTTAGATAAAGCGCAGTTAATTGGTTTTGACTGTATATAAAAAGTAAGACAAAAATTTTGTATTTATTCAATTATAATAATAAGTACTTTTTTTTGTTTCAGTATGTTCTATTCTTTACTCGAAATCTGATTCCTGTAACTGAAGTAGGATCCTGCTGGCAAACTTTTAATACCACTGTGTGGAAAATCATTTCGGATTTCTATATGTTAGAGGTGTGTGTTGAATTTACAGCCTCTCAAATTGCTGTTGTTGCTATGCATGTTGCTCTTATGACTTGCAAAGTGAAGTCTTATTTGCCATCTGATTGGCATCAGGTAAGAATTTTTTTAGTGTAATAATATGACACATTTATCCTCACTCCATTTATATAAGAAATGATGTCATCTCTAATCACATTAATTATAAAAATCAAATGACGAAAGAAATGTTTCAAAAGTAATATGCTGAAAGAGACCTTGTGTATCCAATTTTCTTTTGAATGGGGATTTGAAATAAATTTATAAAACATATAATGAAATCCTTATGAAGTACAGTGAAGTTGTATTTTTCACATTTATACATTATTTCATCCATGCCCTATTTCCCTTCTACTTGTGTTAGCAGTGAAATACTTCATTTGAATGGAACATAACTGGACATATACAGCGAAAGTTTTGAAAATTTTGGATAAATGAACATATAAAAAATGCAATCACGATAAGAAAGTGAAATGAATGGATGACAAAATTTGTGGTCTAAAATTAAAAAAGTCATCTTATTTGTTAACAGTTTGAATATCGAAAGCGTGATTATGAGAAATTATGTGCGATTTCGCAGAAAAATATATTTTACACTTGAAAGCCACTGTATTTTCATAGCTAACATATTCATATACAAGTGAAACATCTTTTCCAACAATAAAATCCTGTTGAACCTAATAGTTTGACGGAGATTCCAAAAAACTTGTGCAAGTAATTCCAGCAGAAGTTTAAAGGAATAGATTGCTTACATAATCAAAGGATACAAATTATGGCTAGCATATGAAAAATTTAAATTGCTTGTCATAGTTTTTCATATTTCTTCATCCCTAGTTTTGATCCATTTTAAATAGAATTGTATATTGTGTGCTCATTAACACTCACCGTTTCTTGATGCCAATATCTCGTAATTTTGAAAATACCTCTGCTGCATGCTATTCTGCTGAAGACAAGTTCCAAATTTTAATTTTTTTCTAAATGGAATGAAAAGGTAGATAAATAGCAGTTAACTTTATATAAGTTAAACCATATTGTTGAGATAAAAAAGGTGTACATAAAACCATGATCTTATGATTTGTTGTGATCTGACACTTCTCTTATTTATCACTCTGTTTCACAACAGTTTTTCTTTATCAAAAAATGGTTGATGTTAAGTATACTGGTGATAGTAGTTCTTGCAGTATGTAGTCTGAACACTTTTTTGTAAACTCAGTTTCTCATATGTTTCCAGTTCTTTTTCTTTGAGGAGTATGCAGCTTAAAGGGCAAATGCTTGGAATAATATGATGAACATAGCAGTGGGAAAGGGAGGTAATCCGCATTTTCTGAATGAGAGCCATGTAATTGTATTCACATATTATATGATATTTGGGTACTGAGTATTAGCTGTATATGTGCTATGAAAGTATGATTATGAGTCTCTCTTTTACTTCATTATTCATTAAAAAATTTCTAAAATTTTAAAATACCCTGATTGTTTGAGCATTTTGTTTATTTCAATGCTGAAATTTTACTCTATATCAGTTTTCTTGTGATTTATTCACGAACATTAATTTTAGAAAGGGATGCTGAGGGTGAAATTTCAAGTTTATATTTTAGGTCATCCAACAGAGCACATAAAACTAAAAATAATTTTTTGATTTTGGCGAGTATTGAAGAACTAAACAAGCACTTCTACCTAAACTTTCAGTGAATTATAAAAATATTAGAAAAGTAATCAACTAAATTATCCTCTCACTGTGTTGCTTACATTGTGTTCTAAAAAGGTAAGTAAAGACCTTAGTTCCTTAATATTAACCCTCTACTGGTTAATTTCAGATTGCAAAATTTCTTAAAAGGGTGTATATAATCTTATGAAAACTTTCTACAGACAATATTTGGGAATGTTCTGAAGGGGATAAATTTTCGATATGATTGCCGTAGAGTAAAAAATTGAGTTACTAAAATTGTTGGATAATTGTTGGATAAAATTTAATTAAAACATGTTTTTATGTGCTAAAATAAAGGGACCAAGGATAAATTTAACAGATTTTTCACCCAAGATGAGTCTATCAATAACCAAAATACAGTTACCATTTTGTTACTGTTTTATGAATTTCTTAAGTAAGTTAGTAATAAGCATTAATAATTTGTTCATATGTATCTATGTGAAATATGTGCATAAAAGTACCCAACCTTTTAACTTAAATATAACAAATATATTATTGATAGGAATGAATTTTTTGGGGAGGAGGAACCATGAACATTAAGATTTTATTTTAAAAACTACGTTTACAAATTTTGAGAGTGCCTTTATAAAATTCTGAATTATATAAATGAGAAATCTTATAATTTGAATGGTTTGTGTAGGCTCAGTATATATCAAGATGAAAAAATAAACCTGGTATTGTCTTTTTAATCATTCTGTATATTTGAATTGACAGTACAAGGTCATTGTTAGTAAAAGTCATTGTTAAATAATCTTGCAGGTACGTTTTAAGTTTTTAAGAAATAACATTCAAAATATTGCTACATAATAATTTTTTTCTTGCTTCTGTCATTTTCTCTGGGCTGATTTTAAAAGGGCGAAATTTATTATACTCAAGCACGATCAGAGTTCTGTAACTATATTCAGTTAGATGTGCATTATCTAGCATTTGGCAGTCCATCACCAAAAATATCACTTCCTATTCGTGCAAGTGTTTGGTAATCCTAGAAGCGGTTCTGTATTCTTCTAGAAGTATTTTTTTTTTAAAGAAAGAGTGAGCAGAGGGTGTGAGGGAATTACTACTTTCTTTATTTTGATGTCAGCTTTATTCTTACAGCATGCATGTATTTGCATTGCATAAGTTTTTTGTTAATTGCTTTCCTGCAGAAAACTCTTTGGACCATGTTTGTTCATCTGCATTTTTCATTGTGTTCATTATATTTTTTATTTTTTATAAATTATTATATTAAGTTTATTATCAAGAAATAAAGGTGAAGCATTTCCAGGCTTGTAGTTTTTTTAACCCCTTAACTGCTGCGGGCGTATATATACGCCTTGCTCAGCCGATGCGTTAACTGCCACGGCTGTATATATGCACCCTTCCAAAGTACTATTATTTGCAAAGCTTTGGAATGCGGCACCACGATGACCTTGACAAAGTATGCGAAGGAGGATACTATTTCAAAGAAGTGTGGGGAGAAATTGGAGAGAGGGGTGTGTTTAAAGCGATGAAAGTAACGACTGCGCAGTATTGGCTGGTGTTTGAGTAATTTTTCTTTTTTTTTGTATTCTTATTTACTTTTTGTAGTAGGTTCCAGGAATAAGAAAGATATAATGGATGTTTCAAACCCATTTATCTTTTTTGAATTATTTTTTTGATGAACTGCTCATGCTTCATATTGTTACTGAAACTAACTGTTATGTAGACGAGTATATGAACCAACACCATGCAAACGAAAAATCAAGAACAAAATCATGGCATTCAACCAGTTCAGAAGAAATATATGTTTATTTACGCATATTGGTTTCACAAGGTATAACACTGAAACTTGATACAGTCAAAAGTCGTTAATCCGGACTCGTCAGGACTTCGGCGATTCCGGATTATCGATTTTTCCGGATTATAGATCATCAATTTAAATCTCGTAAGATGGCATGCAGAAATTCTAAAATTAAAAATATGAAACCGTAATTTATGAAATAAAGAACAATTATGATCTAAAGGGTATCAAAATTTGCAAAAAGAAAAAGCTTAATATTTATTAGTTTACTTTATTAAACATTTCTTTCAATGTAAGTTGTTTAAGTTTTGCTTCGTTTCATGTGATAATACTTTCTTCTTTAATTCTATTAAACAGACGTAATTTCTTGTTCAGTTACAAAGTTCCGCTGTTTAAGTCCTATAATTGCTGTGTCGAGAACACTGACTAATTTGTCAATCGAAATTTTTTCGTTTTCAATAACCTCTGTCACTTTTCTTCGCTATCGGAAGCGAATTATAATGACGAGGAACTTGTTTAAATCATATCAAAGACGGAGCATATCGAGATGAAATACTACATTTGGTAAGGAATTATAAGCCAAATAAAATAAAAACATCTGCGCTGAAGATAAGGATAGTGCTGACAGATCAACTTCCAATTCATGATGCGCCCGCGCGGCGTTCCCCCCGCCGAGCAGCGTGAAATTGATAAACAGATTTCGGATTTCAAAACATACTTTCGCTTTAGATCCTTTACATATTAGCAAATATATATCGGAAATTCTATTTAATATAATCGAAAGTTTAAACTTACTTTTATAAAATTGCTCTTACAGTCTGCAAAAAATAATAAGCCGGATCCAATTCGAAAATTAAGGAACAACGCAATCATCAACATTAACTGAAATAGATAATTAGATAATTTTAGCTTATACGTCCATTATACATAAAACGCGCACGCGAAAACGTATTCTACACTTGCGCACACTCTGCGCAGTCGTAAAAGGTCTTACGCGCACGTGTAAACGCCCATGCGCATGTGTTAACACGGCGCATGCGCAGAAAGTTTTTTAGTTTTGAGGTCCGGATTATAGATCATTCCGAATTATGGGTGTCCGAATTAATGACTTTTGACTGTATTACACTTTACTAGTCTAAAAATGAATTCATCGAAACTCCATTTTAGGGATCTTTTTTATTATAAAAACATCATTTTTATTATGCTTGTACTCAAAACATTTGTGCATTCATTTTTTTCTTTTATTCTTTATTTTGTGAAAGTAAACAGTTTTTATAAAGTAAAACTTGCACTTATTTTCCCCCTAATACATCGCATAACTACGCGTGCCTGTGTGAAAAACCGTGGCACTGGGAAATGAATCTTGTACATTTTCTGCGGCATTTACAGGATTAAGCCGTAAAATTCATGTCTTCCAGGTCTCATGGAAGATGTTTGAAAATGTGAGGTCAACAACAGCCAACAAATTGACAGAATTTTAGAATGAGAACTGGGATGTGGTTTGAGACAACTCGCTGGTTTTCTTATTCAACGGAGTTGATATGTAGGCAGAGACAGCTGCGGAGTAACAGGTTGATGTGATTGCCATACAGTATATACTGAAAATCAACCTATTCCCTCAGTTGGTGATACTTAAAATATATTTCATTATCAAAAAGTGAAAATAAATTATTGATGATGTATTAATGCATATCAATTAAATACACTAGTCTCAAATTTCTTCAGTCTTGTTCTGAGCTTGGTATTGAAGGAACTTTGTTATACCTAAACATATAAATTGAGTTCTCTCTGTATATTCAGTATTAGTAAATAAAAAGCCATATTCTGTCCAGGGATGAAAAAATTTCACAGAGTTTTAAAATTTTACACTTTAATGGAAAAACAAATGTTAAATTATACTTTTACTGTTAAAATTGTATACTCTCATATGTGTAGCAGAGCAGTCACAATACTTGGAGAAGGCATGAAGTGCATATTTTAAGTCTGAAAGTTAGTTATAAAATAATTGATCTCTAGCAACAGTAAAGTTATATTACTAAAATTTTCACAATAGACATACTAATTTTATATATGTTAGGGATCAAGGCTTTATTTTGTAGTGTGCAGGAAAATAATATACAAGGTATATATAGGAATAATATACAGGAACTTGATTTAGAAAATGGTCGTAAATTTTGCCACTGTTTAAATATACCACATCTTGTAAATGCTGTCTGCAGTGTTAAAAAGATTAATTTAGTATTGAAAAATACAGCTTGATTTTTTTTTTTTCTATTCCTTGTAGCTTTTCAGTCCTGATTTAACAATGGAAATAAAAAACCGCTTAGCACGAGTGATGATAGATATTTGTTCTCAGAAATGAGTTGTAAGTATTATTAATAATTGTTTTAAAATAAAAAAAAATAAGGTATATTTCTGTGCTGTAGTGACCCTGACTAGAAATGGAAATTGTCATGATTGTGAGAAACATTTACTATTCTACGTGAACAATTTACTCAATGTTTATAGTACAGAACTATCATATTATACATACAGAAACAGGTTAATACAAGTATGTATTTCCTATTTAATATAGTTTTTAAGCCACTTATTTAAATTAAACACATAAAAACATGTCAAAAATTCATTTTAAATAGACACTGTTGGCCAGTCTTCAGTAATTGCTGCTTGTGGTGCATCAGATACATTACTATGGTTGATATAATGTCCAAACATAAGCTATTGTATCTTCTTCCATTGATGGAAGATTGAAAATAGAAAGCATATTAAATATTTAACAGTAAGAAATTGAGAAAATTTTCACTTGCTGAAGAGACGTTAATTCTATATATTGTATAGCTGCCAATTCTCCTAGTTTAAAGGGGAGTCACCTAGGCTGTCAGTGTATTTAATTTTTAGTTCTGAGTAAGGAGAACCACTTGGGAAAATATTTCTGAGTAATAAAAGAAATTTATTGTTAGAACTTATATTGTACAAATTCTCTTCTCCAGTTTTAATGATTTTCAGCATAATTTTTGTTATTACAATTTATACCATCTGAATTGTTTCAATTTTCTGTAGATATTCATAGATTTTTTATAAACCTTCAAGTAATATTTATTCAGTTAGTATTTGTATTAAGTACCGTTTTATATCAGTATGTTACATTATTACGTTTATCCACACAGTAGTTTGCACATTCATTATAAATTTTATTTTCATGGTATTTAAAATAAATTTGACAAAATCTTTCATATTTCATTCAAGATTTTCTCGGTATAAAAGTGTAAGAAAATTACAAAATGAAATAAGCTATAAAACATAAAATTTAAAATATTTAAATAAATATTAGTATATTTTATATCAATCATGTAAATTGTTTATTATCCTGAATCATGCATTATAAAGTAAGTTCCTTAAATGGCAGCAGTGTGCAGCACAATAACCTCCAGTAAATGTGTGGTTTTTCATATTTGAAGATCAGAAGTTATGGTATTGGTAATAATCTTTTTCTCTCATCAAGGCTAAAACACGCCAGTTTCTGTTTCCCCCCCCCCCAAGATTTCTGTAATATAGAAATATCAAGTAAATGTCTATGAGAGTTCCTATTTTTTCTCTTGTTTCATAAAAATCTTTCAAGATGTGTAATTCTAATTTGAATATTAATTAATAATTCAGAATACAAAATATTTTGCTTTCAGTTATACAACATACAATATATGTTGTATAGTATAGAATGGATTGTGCTCATAAAGTTTTATGTAGTTTTGTGACTAATATGTGATTGTAGGATATTGCTATTAAACCAAGTATACTGCGTAACTTTTCTCCCACAAAATTACTTTGTGCAATTTTATAATGTACACTAATACGAGAAATTTCAGTACAGTATGTAGAATGTCATCGTTGAAGAAACTTATAAACATGTAGGTAATATAAAACCTTCAGTAAATGTAATGCATACTTCAGCATAAATTAGTAGGTACAAGAAGGCCAGTTAAGCAATTTCATTAATAGAATTTTACTGAAAGACTTGGGTGATGTATTGAGCAGTAAAATATGCACTAAGACGTGTCTTGCTTCTAGATATTCTAACTCAAGAAAGGAAATTTTTAAAGGACTATCGGTCATCATTTTCTTAACAATATAAGGCAGTTCTGGCTCATACATTCCATTTTCTTATTTAAAATTTTTTGGTAACATTTGATAGTCAGAGATTTTGTATTGTGCTGAAACATATCAAACCTATATAACTAAATTAGATATGTGAAATATCTTTTTGAATATATAAATGTATATGTAATATATTCAAAAGCAGGAACAAACTTAGAAGTAATGACGAGCAGAATTTGGAGATCTCCAGTTTCATTTTCGGCAATTTGTTGCGGCTACGCACAAGTCAGCACGTTGAATGTGCCTGTTCCAAAAAGCTTACATTTTTGATAATTTTGTAGCAAGAAAGCAGAGCAGACAGACAGCAGTGTAACTAGGCCAAAGCGTGGGAAAAAAGTGCATAATGTTCAGGATGAAATCTTAAGTCAGATTGAGTTAGTTTTTGTTCTCCAAGCATTCTGATTGGATGGTTAATATTGCTGTAAAATTATTATTGGCTGTTAAGAGTTTTAGTTCCGCTTAATCATCATAATTATGTAAGAGTCATATGACATAGATGTTTCTCGAAATGATGCAGTGCAGATCCCCCCCCTCAAGAAGAAAAAGGCATAGCGACAGAGAAGCCTTTTTAAAGAGAAAGCGTTAAAGCACTAGCATATGAAAAAGAAAAATATAAATCATAAAATTTTGATCCTGCAAAGTACAATTTATAAATATCAATTTTTTAAAATAAATTATAGTTTTTAGAGTCCTATTGAATTTATCAGCATTTCAGTCCAAAAGTCTTATTTTTTTTAGAGTTCACATAATCATAATTTTTCAAGGAAGGTTCTTGTTATCACAGAATATCTCAAGATAAACTTTTACATTATCATTACTTATAATTAAATGTAGCGCACATAAATATTTATGATATTAATTGCCATCTGATAATTTATATTGTAACACCACAAGTATAATAGGAGTAACAGTTTCAGAAATTATGGTTTCACCGTTATTATCTTTCTTTTACAATTCCTTTATTTTACCATACTGGAAGGCCTCGCAATACTTCTAAACAAACATATCCATAAATAAGGCTGTCCTCTTGAGCTAACCAGTATGTTCTGTGCTCTGGTGCTCCAGGGTGCCTAGGCAGTTACTTGAAAAGGCCTCCATTCCTTGCATAAGGTAACTGGCCTTTGAGAACTGCACTTACACATTCCACAATAAAAATAAATAATAATATTAGAAAATATTACACATGCTTATAAAAGAGGAGCCTCCAACATTATCTTGCATGAATAGGGTAAAAGGAACAACTTTACAGAGGTAATTACAGGCCTCTGATTTAGGAACCCAGTATTCCCTCGTCATACTTCATTTTTAGAATAATTATAAAATTCGTATTTAAAAAATTTCAACAAAATTTAAAAAATATAAAAACTTAACAGCCTTCTCTAAAAATAATTAAAAATCTAAGAATTCTTTACTAAATTATTAGAATTCAAATTTCTAATATCATTAAATTATATTTTTTCATATCATTGTGTTACATTTTTAATGTCCAGTTTATTAAGAAAAAAATATGAGTTCCCAATGGAGATTTAATTACGCAAAAGCAGAAGTGAAAATAATTTTCTGCCACCTACTTCAATTGTAAATTTAATTCTATAGCTGTGAAAGAACAACCTAATTTATTCGCATAAGAGCCATATTAAGATACGCAGTTTGATGACTTTTAAAGCACTGGAATGATTTGAAACGTAAAGACTCGGAAACATTTGTCATTTTACTATAAACAAACGCTGGATTAATTTTGAAAGGCTGGCACTAGATTTCATTTTTAAGCACTCTCAGCAAATCTATGATTTGAATTTTTTTTCCACATTTTCATATCGCTGTTGAATTACGACGCTGCACTTCTTAAATCACCTTATATCCTAGATTAAATTTCAAAGAATTGATTTTGACTTTAAATACACTTGTTTTGGAATGATTAGATGTAGATGACTTGATGATACGGAGCCGAAGATATAACATGAAGGCATTAATTAACTAATTCCCTTTCACAATCGTAGCCACAATTTCAATGATAACACTTCTGTGAAAACAGGCACACTTTGATGATTTAAAACACTTTTTTTTTTTCCTAAACATTTAAGAGATGGCATTACACTTCATTTTCACTGACGTTAGCACTTTTGGACTTGCAGATATTAATGGATATCCATTATTAATTTCCGTTACACATGGAAGTTTAAACAGATGGTTGGTTATTGCAGACACTGCAATGACATTTCCACTGGAATTCCAATGCACAGGACATGTATCTTGTCGACTCAGTTGTAATATTTTCAAAAGCAGGAACAAACTTAGAAGTAATGACGAGCAGAATTTGGAGATCTCCAGTTTTATTTTCGGCAAAATGTTGCGGCTACACACAAGTCGGCACATTAAATATGCCTGTTCCAAAAAGCTTACATTTTTGATAATTTTGTAGCAAGAAAGCAGAGCAGACAGACAGCAGTGTAACTAGGCCAAAGCGTGGGAAAAAGTGCATAATGTTCAGGATGAAATCTTAAGTCAGATTGAGTTAGTTTTTGTTCTCCAAGCATTCTGATTGGATGGTTAATATTGCTGTAAAATTATTATTGGCTGTTAAGAGTTTTAGTTCCGCTTACATTATCATAATTATGTAAGAGTCATATGGCATAGATTTTTCTTGAAATGACGCAGTGCAGAGAGGGGTTACTATTTTTAGAAAAGAGAAGGGAAATTTATGTTGCTAATTTAATCTTTAACATATTCTTTATTTTTCTTACATATATATATATATGTACAGTATGTACTGTCTAACCACACTAGCGAGAGCAGTTTGGCTGAGGACCAAGATAGGTTAATTTAATTGAAGGGTGTGGGTGAAAAGTGCAGGTATTTTTTCCTCTTGGAGGTCTGAGGTCTTTAAGTGTTTTTTACAAATGTTGAGCATCGCCAATGCTGGCCTTTTTTTTACTTTCAAATCTTCATTTTTACTATCAATTGTAGTGTTCCAGGAAGCTCTAGCAGTAAGCCTTTCTGCAGCAATTGGTGTACAATGTGATTAAAGTTTGTGATGAAGAATCAGAATTAGGAAGGCTGACCACCCCAATTACATAGCCAACATGTAGAGCAAGTAAAATAGACTTGCAGTTTTATTGCCAGCATAAATAGAATTTGTAAACAATGTAAAAGTAAAGAAAATTTTGAATTCTCTTCTCCCTTTAAAAAAAACGAGAGAGAGAGAGAGACTTG